CAGCTCCCCATTCGGAGACATGAGAGAAGCCTCCCACAAGGATGGTAAAACATCAAAACATCTGGGTGTCCCCTGGGCAACGTCCTTGCAGACGGCCAATTCTCTCACACCAGAAGCAACTTGCAGTTTCTCAAGTTGCTTCTGACACAGAAAAAACAAACTACAAATCCCAGGATTGTCTAGAATTAGGCTCTGGCAGTTAAAGTAGTGGGGGGGGGGGTGAGAAGAGCGGGGTAGAAATGCTATAAATAAATAAATCCACACCATGCAACTTTGGTTTATGGATGCTATATATCCAAAACATAGAGAAAGCCAAGGTTTCCTGATTTCCTGTCCCAGCTTCATTACCAGCAAGGAAATTAAAGTTCTATCCAAAATGCTGCCCATATCCTTTAAGTTTCAGTAGCCACTAAAGTTTCAGTAGCCACTAGTCTTTGAGATTGGAGGAGAAATGTATGGTTTCTATGTCAATAGCCTTACTTCGTCACATTACATTAGATACAACAGGATTCACTAGATCGTTACCTGAATCTAAAACTGCCCTTTAATGTCATGTGATGGATATTGTGGTCCATTGTCGAAGGCTTTCATGGCTGGAATCATTGGGTTGTTGTAGGATTTTTGGGCTATATGGCCATGTACTAGAAGCATTCTCTCCTGAAGTTTCACCCACATCTATGGCAAGCATCCTCAGAGGTGTGAAGACCTCACAACCTCTGAGGATGCTTTCCATAGATGCAGGCGAAACGTCAGGAGAGAATGCTTGTAGAACATGGCCATATAGCCCGAAAAACCTACAACGACCCAAGAAACAGATGCTTTGTCAAATAAAGACAAATGAGAATATTGTACCCATGGTAGAGTACTCCTGTGGAGTACACTTTCAATAGAGTTGCATGATTGAGGTACCTTTGAATGATTTGTAGCCAAACCGATGAGGGTGATAAGTAGTGACAGCGTAAAGCTGTTTTGTAGCAATCATTGAAAATATTTGGAATATGCTTGTGCAGATAACAATACATGGAAGTGGAGACTTATCAGCTATAGCAGGCATGGGCAAACTTGGGCCCTCCAGGTGTTTTGGACTTCAACTCCCACAATTCCTAACAGCTGGTAGGCTGTTAGGAATTGTGGGAGTTGAAGTCCAAAACACCTGGAGGGCCCAAGTTTGCCCATGCCTGAGCTATAGTCACCAACGCAGCTTGTTTATTGCTCATCTCTATATTTTAAGTGCGCATTTGAGTATTTTGTGTTTCCTTCCTGCCTATTTTGTGCTTGGTTTGCAATAATACCGTTATGTTTCTATCCAGCCTCCCTCCATTCTACCATTACTGGTCTATACTGGGAACTGCTAGTCATTACATTTTCTACAATTTACATATGAATCTGATGAATGCTTGAATGCAGTAATTGAAAATGTTACTACACGAACCCCATCTGCACGACCTTTTGGAAATATCCTTCAGCCCAGGCATAGTCATAATATAGGGTTCATATAATAGTGAATAACAAAAGGTTTTCCCTTGACATTAAGTCTAGTCATGTCAGACTTAATGGTGGTGCTCATCTCCATTTCTAAGCTGAAGAGCCAGCGTTGTCCATAGACACCATGCGCCATGCGGCCAGCATGACTGCATGGAGCACCGTTGCCTTCCCATCGAGGTGGTACTTATTGATCTATACACATTTGCATGTTTTTGAACTGTTCGGTTGGCAGAAGCTGAGGCTAACAACAGGAGCTCACCCCGCTCCCCAGATTCCAACCGCTGACTTTTTGGTCAACAAGTTCAGCAGCTCAGTGGTTTAGCCCGCTGCAGCACCGGCGGCTCCAGTATTGGATAATACTGAACCCTATATTTTTACTCATATCATAGAATCGTACAGCAGACCTAGAGATTTCTAAGAAAGAATACTTTCTGGCGATTGGGTAAAAAAATGGATATCAAATACATGGGCAAAGGGGTTCTTTTTATATTCAGATTAATAGCAGATTACTAAAATGACTGTGCAAATCCTAAACATTTTTACTTGGATGTAAGCACACACTGAATTCAACGAGACCCCTCACAGGTATATCACTAAGGTCCCATCTAAAGGTAAAGGTAAAGGTTTCCCCTCGACATTAAGTCTAGTCATGTCAGACTCTGGAGGGTGGTGCTCATCTTCATTTCTAAGCTGAAGAGCTGGCATTGTCCATAGACACCTTCAAGGTCATGTGGCCAGCATGACTACATGGAGTGCCGTTAACTTCCTGTGGAATCAGAACCTATTAATCTACTCAAATTTGTATGTTTTTGAACTGCTAGGTTATCCCAGAAGCTGGGATAACATCGGGAGTTCACCCTGCTCCCCGGATTCTGACTGCATGGCACGCCGTAACCTTCCTGCAGAAGTAGTACCTATTGATCTACTCACATCTGCATGTTTTCAAACTGCTAGATTGACAGAAGCTGGGGCTAACAGCAGGAGTTCACCCCGCTCCCTGACTGTATGGAGCGCCGTAACCTTCCTGCAGAAGTGGTACCTATTGATCTACTCATATTTGCACGTTTTCAAACTGCTAGGTTGACAGAAGCTGGGCCTACCAGTGGGAGCTCACGCCGCATTCTGACTGCATGGAGCGCTGTTACCTTCCTGCAGAAGCAGTACCTATTAATCTACTCACATTTGCATGTTTTCAAAGTGCTAGGTTGACAGGAGCTGGGGCTAACAGCAGGAGCTCACCCCACTCCCTGGATTCTGACCGCGTGGAGCGCCGTAACCTTCCTGCAGAAGTAGTACCTATTGATCTACTCACATTTGCATGTTTTCAAACTGCTAGGTTGACAGAAGCTGGAGCTAACAGCGGGAACTCATCCCACTTCCCGGATTTGAACCGCTGACCTTTCGGTCAGCAAGTTCAACATCTCAGTGGTTTAATCTGCTGCACCCCCGGGGGCCTAATGTAGTTTAATTGCATTCTGAAACTGCACTATGTGGCAGTGTAGAAGGGGCTGAAGACTGCCACTCAAGTTAATGAAGGTACTCAAGGAAGAGTTGTTAGCAAACATTTGCGACATCTGGATGAGAGAAAAAAGGTCATAACAACAATACAGATAAGACAAGCAAAAGAATTTGAGTGGAACGATTAAGGAGCTAAGTATTTCCTTTTACTATATCCAAAGATATGTATTAAAATGTGTCATACTAGATTTTTTTTTAGGAAACATTTTGGGTATTTGGATTTGAAATTCTTTAGAAATCCTTTAGAAAGGTGGCAAATTGCAACGTTCACGCTTGCCTCAAGCAGACAAGAGTTCTTTCTCCCACCCTGGACTATTCCACAGATAGATAAACCTCACTTGCCAAGTTTCCACCAGATCCTTCAACCTCAGAGGATACCTGCCATAGATGTGGGCGAAATGTCAGGAGAGAATGCTTCTGGAACATGGCCATACAGCCCGGAAAACTCACACAACCCAATAGTGTTTCTGTTCTGTCCTACAGGGATCCCTCTTTGCATCAACCCTACTAGGAAAAAGCATTCCTCTTACAAATTAAATTAGTTTATCAATGACTTCAATCTCTACTACACTATGCAACTAAAATATTTCATTACACCAAAATCTTTGGGAGGAAAAAAATCACTCAATTTCAGAATAAATTGCTTTTACATGACCAACAACAGAATGCTATTTTTGTGAAGCAATTAACTGAACTTACAAGGAGAAACATTATCTTTGTCCATTTCCTCACTGCCAAATAAATAAGGATTTGTAAACATTCTAGAAAGTCTAGTGACAAATTCTCAATGCTCCCCAACTTACACTACTTAGTGTTGTTGAAGGTTTTCATGGACAGAATAACTAGGTTGCTGTGAGTTTTCCAGGCTGTATGGCCATGTTCCAGCATTCTCTCCTGACGTTTCACCCACATCTAAGGCAGGCATCCTCAGAGGTTGTGAGGTCTGTTGGAAACTAGGCAAGTGGGGTTTATATATGTGTGGAATGAGGTCCAGGGTGGGAGAAAGAACTCTTACCTGCTTGAGACAGGTGTGAAGCATTCTCTCCTGACATTTTGCCCACATCTATGGCACCTGATGATGCCTGCCATAGATGTGGGCGAAACACCCGAGCCACCTTGATTAGCACTGAATGGCTTGATTAGCATTTAAAGTCGTCTAAGGGCTGAGAAAAGAGGTATATAAATGAAGTAAATAAATAAATTTAAAGAATAAATCAGGGCCAGCTAACACCTCCAAATAAAGGATTCCCTCCAGGCAGCAATCAGCCAGCCTTTGAAGCTACAAGGCCATTAAATGCTAATCAAAGCGGCCAATTGCAACATTCACACTCACCTCAAGCAGACAAGAGTTCTTCCCACCCAGGACATTATTCCACAGATGATTATTGTATGTATGTGTGTGTGTGTGTATATATATATATGCAGTTATTGCTGTATTTTAGGATTTTAACCAAGGGGTTTTGTGAAGTGAGATATTTATGTTTGCTGTTATCATTTTATGTTATTATTTTTTTGCAATTTTTGTATTTTGTGTGTTTGCACCTTTGAGTGCTTTGTAAGCCGCTCCGAGTCCCTCTGGGAGATGGTGGCGGGGCATAAATAAAGCTTATTATTTATTATTACTATGATATATAAACCCCACTTGCCTAGTTTCCAACAGACCCCTCTTGCAACCTGAGACCTGCTATATGCACAATGGAGAGGCACTCTAAGTGGCCAGCTACTGGTCAAAGGACATTGAATCAACTACCAAGCTTGCAAACTTTGTGTTTTGTTTGTTTGTTTGTTAAAAATGCAGTGCAACTGTTTGGTTTGCTCCTGACACGATAAATAAATAAATAAACAGACACCTCAACATCAGACGATGCCTGCCACAGATGTAGGCGAAACATCAGGAGAGAATGCTTCTGGAACATGGCCATACAGCCCGGAAAACTCACAGCACCCCACTATACTACCAAGGATTACACTGCGGCAAGCAATACCAACCAAACAGCTTTTAAAAAATGGCTTTTAATGAAGATGTGTTTGGTGGTAACCATGCCATGTGAAGAGACACGTTCCAGTCCTTGTGCCAATGGAAACACCCTCTGAGGCCGACAATGAGAAAGAGAGCTCAGAGACACCACAGAGACTTACTTCAGTCCTCCCTTTATACTTCCCCAAGTCAAAAGGGATGAAGAGGGAGGAATTTGTGATACGGTTTAGTACTCTATTACTGGTAAGTCAGTGTTATTGTATCCCGCTGTTAGCTTCTCCGCTCACATGTCAACAATCAAGAAAATCCCTCCATCTTTATTTCCCCCATGTGGGTCGCTTGAGAGGTATCGCTGAGCACAAACTGACTCAAATTTGTAAGTCCAGTCATAGCTGCAGGGTCACCGCTTTGCTTAACAGGCGACGCGACTTCCTCCTCTTGATTCCAGAGGCGTTCAGAAGCCGAGCACCAGTCGGTGGCACCGGGAGATGTGTCTATTTCAGAAAGTGCCATCCCAAGACTCCCATCCTTGACATGGACTCTCTGATGGGATACGAGGCGCGAGCTCCGAGCAAAGCACTTCCCGCAGTCGGAACATGTGTAGGGCTTCTCTCCCGTGTGGATTCTCTGGTGAGTGACGAGGTCGGCGTTGATCCGGAAGCTCTTTCCGCAGATGTGACACTCGTACGGTTTCTCTCCGGTGTGGATCCTCTGGTGCTTAATCAGATCTGAGCTGTAACTGAAGCTTTTCCCGCAGATGCCGCAGGGGTAGGGCCTTTCCCCCGTGTGGACCCGCTGGTGGCAGATGAGGTGGGAGCTTCGCTTAAAGCCCTTGCCGCAGTCGGGGCATTCGTACGGCTTTTCTCCCGTGTGGTTTCGCTGATGGGTCACTAAGTCGTAGTTGACCCGGAAGCTCTTGCCACAAATGGAGCACTCGTACGGCTTCTCCCCAGTATGGACTCTCTGGTGTCGAATTAGATGAGAGCAGTCTCGGAAGCGCTTCCCGCAGATCCCGCAAGGATAGGGCCTCTCCCCGGTGTGTACTCTCTGGTGGGAGATGAGGTGCGAACTCCGAGTGAAGCTCTTCCCGCAGTCAGAGCATATGTACGGCTTCTCACCCGTGTGGCTCCTCTGGTGGTTGACCAGGTCGTAGTTGGAGCGGAAGCTCTTCTCGCAGATGATGCACTCGTAGGGCTTCTCTCCTGTGTGGACCCTCCGGTGGGACATCAACTGGGAACTCTGGGAGAAGCCCTTCCCACACTCCAGGCAGATGTAAGGCTTCTCACCTGTGTGGACTTTCTGGTGAGAAACCAGGTCCGAGCTGAAGAGGAAGGTCCTCCCGCACTCCAGGCACGAAAAGGGCTTCTCGTCGGTGTGGCTCTGCATGTGCTCCACCAAATCCACCTCCTGGGCAAAGCCCTTTCCACAGACAGGACACGTATGCGGCTTCACCTCTTGGTGAACTTTTTGATGCTCGACAAGGCAAGAACTCCCACTGAAGCATTCTCCACAAACAGTGCAGATATACTGTGTCTGTGACAAGCATAGACCTCCACTGAGGGGAAGAGATTCATTCTCCGGTTCTGGAGCAGAACTTCTCCCCTCTATCTCTGAACTGGTCTCACTGAGTTCATCTCCTTCCACTTCATGGTCTGAAGAAGCATGACTTGGGCAAGTTTCTGAAGGCATTCCCTGCGATGTTGGTTTAGGACTTCCTTGCTGAGATGTACCCTCCTCTTCCTCATTCACCATCTTTTCATTTACTGTTTGGACAAAAAGAATCCACACAGTAATTAGTATTAAATATACAAATAATAATAATAATAATAATAATAATAATAATAATAATAATTGATGAAACCATGGACCATCTTCTCAGCTGTTGCAAGAAAATCGCACAGACGGACTACAAACAGAGGCACAACTCCGTGGCCCAGATGATTCACTGGAACTTATGTCACAAGTCTGCTCATTCCATCTCTCTCCAAATACCTATCCTAGTTATATGTCACCTGGTCATGCCCAGCATTTTTTTTAATTTTAATTATTACATTTGGCCCTGCCATAGGTTTTTAATGCATCGTGGTGTTATTGTTACTGTTTATTGCTTTGTTTATGAGTTTATTTATTGTCTGTATTGCTGTTGTTGCTGTTTTTACTCATGTAAGCCTCTTGTAAGCCACACCGAGTCCTTCGGGAGATGGTAGCGGGGTATAAATAAAGGATTATTATTATTATTATTATTATTATTATTATTATTAAGTACCACCTGCCAGTAGTAAAGAATTGGTGGGATCATAAACCCGCAAAAGTCGTGGAAAATGAACATGCAAAAATCCTGTGGGACTTTCGAATCCAGACTGACAAAGTTTTGGAACACAATACACCAGACATCACGATTGTGGAAAAGAAAAAAGTCTGGATTATTGATGTCACCATACCGGGTGACAGCCGCATTGAGGAAAAACAACAGGAAAAACTCAGTCGCTATGAAAACCTCAAAATCAAACTGCAAAGGTTCTGGCATAAAACATTACAGGTGGTCCCAGTGGTCATTGGCGCACTGCGTGCGGTGCCAAATGATCTCAGCCTCATATCGTGTCAACTTTTCCAGTTTTTCTCTTCAATCCTGCAGTCACCTGGAATTTCAACATCGACAATCCACGCATCATCATCATCATCATCATCATCATCACAAGACAGTATATTTCTAAGAATCTTTAGGTCTTGCATTGGAAGTTGAACACAGAACCACAATGGACAACCTAGAGCAGTGGTTCTCAACCTGGGGACTCCAGATGTTTTTGGCCTACAACTCCCAGAAATCCTAACAGCTGGTAAACTAGCTGGGATTTCTTGCAGTTGTAGGCCAAAAACATCTGGTGACCCCAGGTTGAGAACCACTGGCCTAGAGCACGTATGGACCTAGAGATTCCTAGAGAAAACATTTAAATCAAATCTACACATAATCAAAACCACAAAAGTCTGACCCACAAATGTGTAGGATTGAGTGAGTCACCCATAGCTGTCTGAGCAATGCAGTTATGAGATCCAACAGAAATGCCAACGAAATATGTAAGTTTTTGAGTTCAGCAGAACGCACCACCTGGCTAAATGCTACAAAAAAGGAGGGGAAAGAAAATAAAGAAACGTAAAAATTAGGGAAGATTTTGAAGCTGCGTGGTTTACAATTAAATTCATTTCCAAGATAGTGATCACATACTGAATGAATCACTTGTTTTTTTATTGTGTTGCACCTAGAAATGACTACTGTGATAAAGAATCATTGACCAGCTCTGATTTATATAAATGTGTAACATATCGTTGGAAGCTTTCCAAGATGGTTGTAAAACTCACAACAATCCTATAAAGCAGGTTAATACTACTATAATCACAATGAAGAATGGGGGAGGGCATTTAAGGAGAGAATTGTAAAGCCCTAAATGGTTCTGGCCCAACCTACCTTTCCGAACGCATCTTCTCATATGAACCAGCTAGGACATTAAAATCATTTGGGGAGGCCATGCTCTCGATCCCACCTGCGTCAGAAATACATTTGGTGAGGACGAGAGACAGGGCCTTCTCGGTGGTGGCCCCTCGGCTATGGAATACCCTTCCTAGAGACATTAGATCGGCCCCTTCTTTGTTAGCATTTTGGAGGAAAGGCAGTGTAACAAACATAGGAATTTTGAAAAGGCAATATAACAAACATAGGAATAAAGAAGGATTGGATGATGAGATTGGATCTTGATTTTAACTAAGAGACACAAATGAGTTATGTTTTATTGACTTTGTAATGATCATATATTATGCCATTGTTTAAAATTGTTTTATGATGTTTTGAGCATTGAATTTTGCTACTGTAAACCGCTTTGAGTGGCCCGTGGGCTGAGAAAAGTGGTATATAAATATAGTAATTAATTAATTAATCAATCAATCAATTAATTAAAAGACTTCCTGATTTGTTGTTTGGCTCCACAATTGCGATGCCGTGATATTTACAGTCTTCACCCACTTTCAGTAGGAGCCCCCGGTGGCGTAATGGGTTAAGCCCTTGTGCCAGTAGGACTGCTGACCAAAAGGTCAACAGTTCGAAGCCAGGGAGCAGGGTGAACTCCCGTCTGTCAACTCCAGCTTCTCATGCAGGGACATGAGAGAAGCCTTCCACAGGATGGTAAAACATCCGGGCGCGCCTGGGCAACGTTTTTGCAAATGGCCAATTCTCTCACACCAGAAGCGACTTGCAGTTTCTCAAAAAATAAAAACCCCACTTTCAGTCAAGTAGCTTTATTGATCTATTGCAGAGAAAATAATGGACCATCTTGTGGCATCTGAAAGATGAACTGCTCACCTCTTTGGACTGGATGGATACATATAGAAGTATTGGGAAAAAGGGGAGAACGAATGCCAATGAAAAGCAAAAAGCACAGCCTGAAAATATTTCTATGTAAAGCTTGAGATAAGCAGTGACCTCAAGATAAGCATAGCAGCAGCAACAGGAACTGGCGGGAGCATGGATTGTCCCAGTTTCTCAATGTTAATTAGTAGCTGCAATACAACTAAAAGCTGTTTGTTTGTTTTTTTACTGTTCAGTCTTAAAAGAAAGAGAGTGGTTCTACCTTGACAGTTCTACCTTGGCATTCTTTTGTTGGAGAACGGCAACATAGCTTGATTCTATTCATTTTGGCCTGAATAATTATTTTCTGACTCACCTAGTATCTTAGATAAACAGGGATTATCACCAGAATGTTTCACCAAATGATTCTGAAAAATGAGGTATACCTCAAGGAGAAGTAGGTGGAGGCTGTCCTCTTTATTGTAGGGGGAAAGGATCCTGAGAATTTCTCTTGCCTCCAAAAATAATGATATACCTGGATTGTTGTAAGTTTTTTCGGGCTATATGGCCATGTTCTAGAGGCATTCTCTCCCGACGTTTCGCCTGCATCTATGGCAAGCATCCTCAGATGTAGTGAGGTCTGTTGGAACTAGGAAAATTAGAATTATAGAATTATATATCTGTGGAAAGACCAGGGTGGGACAAATAACTCTTGTCTGCTGGAGCTAGGTGTGAGCCTTCGACAATACAATGATATACCTATTTTCACAGGATAGTGGGTCAGAAAAAAATGTGTGTGTATATATGAATTACTAAAAGTAAAGTTTTCCCTTGACATTAAGTCTAGTCATGTCTGACTCTGGGAGGTGGTGCTCATCTCCATTTATAAGCCAAAGAAATAGCGTTGTCCATAGACACCTCCAAGGTCATGCGGCCAGCATGATTGCATGGAGTGCTGTTCCCTTCCTGCCAAAGTGGTACCTATCGATCTACTGTTTTCAAACTGCTAGGTTGGCAGAAGCTGGGGCTAACAATGGAGCTCACCCCATCCCATTGATTCAAACCGCCGACCTTCCGGTCAGCAAGGTTTTGCAGCTTAGCGGTTTAACCCATTGTGCCACTATGGCCCCTTATATGAATTACTACTGCAATTAGAATTATAGAATTATAGAGTTGGAAGAAACCTCATGGGCCATCCAGTCCAACCCCCTGCCAAGAAGCAGGAATATTGCATTCAAAGCACCCCCGACAGATGGCCATCCAGCCTCTGTTTAAAAGCCTCCAAAGAAGGAGCCTTCACCACACTCCGGGGCAGAGAGTTCCACTGCTGAACGGCTCTCACAGTCAGGGTCATTTAATTACTATTACCTTTATAAAGAGTTGCATTAAACCATGATTTTGTTGTTGTTGTTGTTGTTGTTGTTGTTTTGCATTTTATTCCTTCCTCTATATATACCTGAGTGTGTGTATATGTATACGGTATACTCACTTGGGAGTAAGCCACACCAAATACAATGACATTAACCTTTGAATAAAATTCCAAAATTAGTTTCAAAGTTCCCTCTAAGATTCTGTGTCTTGTTCTCCACCAAGTTACAAGTCCAATTTGTCTATCACAAGAAATGGCATTCAGAATAAGAAAAAGTAGAGGGAGGAGGAGGAGAGAAGGAAGGGAGGAATGGTATTCGTAAGGAATGAATTCTTCAAATGGGAAGGATAATCTCTGTAAACGGTCTAAAGGGGTTTAATGTACATAATTGTTCTATTTCTAATGTATGAGACACTTGTTTAGTTTTTGAAATTTTACATATATAACGCCATCAACAATCTTGCCTCAACACAGGCATGGGCAAACTTTGGCCCTCCAGGTGATTTAGACTTCAACTCCCTGGCTGTTAGCAATTATGGGAGTTGAAGTCCAAATCGCCTGGAGAGATGAATGAAGTTTGTGCATGCCTGCATTATATTGTTGTTATTGTTGTTATTTGATACATAACAAGATTACTCCACAGCAAACAAGGTCACTATCCTGGCTTTTGTATTTGATCACACGTTGGATACTTCCCAAGTGTCTAGGACTGTGTGATGTATCAGAGAATAATATGTGCAGGTCTGAGTAGAGACGCCTTTTGCAGCTGACAGATGGTAAATGTTGTCAGCACCAATTGTTTTTAAGTGCAGGCCAAGGTCTTTAGGCACTGCACTCTGTGTGCCAATCACCACAGGGACCACCTTGTGCCACAGTCTTTGCAGTTCTATCTTCTATCTTTAAATCCTCGTATCGTGTCAGCTTTTCCAGTTGCTTCTCGTCAATCCTGCTGTCACCTGGGATTGCAACATCTACAATCCATATTTGTTTTTCTTTCCATGATTATAAAGTCAGTAGTATTGTGCTCCAAAACTCTGTTAGTCTGAATTTGGAAGTTC